GCATCGTTACATTTGACACGTCTAAGTTACATTTGACACGCCAAAGTTACACTAATCTAAGATTCTATTTTCGATGCTGATTTTGTATCACTAATACTGTGCCATTTTGCCGATCGATTAGCCGCAGAAATTCATGTACCGCAGACGGAAATGTTCGTACTATTGAGCGGAAATCACTGAGGAATACGTCGCCTTTAAGACCTAGGCTTGACAATTTTAAAGCTAATTTTGTTATTACTAAACCATATTCTAAACTTGTTACAATTAATTGGAGTTCTTTCTGTCAAAAAAATTTTTTTCCCTGCATGCAGTGTGACTGTGTTGTGGCTGTGTATTTCTCAGCCATTTGTAGAACTTTGTTTAGTTGCAGATATCTAACCTCATCTAGCATAGCACATTACATCATAGTTAGCGCAATTGAGGGTGGGGAAACTTCATTGTAAATTATTAATTTCATATGAATTTTGTCCATATACTTTTTGCAAATAAATGCAAGAATAACACCCATCAACTCCAAATTAAGTTGGCTTATGATTACGCACTAGTAGTATTACTTCAAAATATATGGCATAGATTCTCAACTCCTCCGTGGTCTAAAGAGAATATACCTGTATTTAAAGCTGTTCTAATGACGTGAAATTTGTTTGTTATAAATCTTACCATCTGTGCAAACTCCTGTCTTCCGATACTATTATTCACCATGGTTGTATGTTCATGTTCAACGACTGGTTCTTGCGCCGACTCATCTACAGGCTTTTCTACCGTTGGCAAAAGGTGTCGCTCTCCTTTGTAGTTGGCATCTTTTTCTGTTACTCTTCGTTTTTGTTTATTTACTACCATGAAATGGTTGCGTCCCGTAAGGTCAGATTCTTCAGGAACTGTTCTACGTTTTCGACCGCGTTTAGATTTTGTCTTTTTACTTTGGTGGGCGTTATGAGACATATTGGTCATAATAATAAGATGTATCTATACTGTTCGGCGTGCTCTTTATATATGACTGCTTGAATTGTTATGGATATTTAATATTGACATTACAGTCAATCTGAATGGTCTACCATAGCTTATTCTATACACACAAAGATAAATCCGTTACTTAATGTGCATAATCGGGAGGCACGCGGAGGGATAGGCACGAGACCGACTATGCTGGCGACATTCAATTACCGTTACTGTATAGTCTTGCCCATAGTTGACATGATGGTTACACGACTAAGTTATGGCGGGACAACCCATTCATCATCCTTCGTACGCACAGCCTAAAAGTGACATCTGTAATGTAAGGGAAAATTTTTTTTCCAATTAAATGTGGGAATGCAGAGTGGGAGAAAGACGTGCATATCCCCCAAAAATGGTTTCGCTTTTCTGTCACAAAGAACTCTGCAAGATGTTGATTAGTAAGATTTGCAGTGATACATTGTGAACGAATGATGAGAAAGAATGCTTCGCGATTAATCAGGAAAATATATAAAGTTTTATTGATATGTAAAACAAAAGGCTAAATCGCCTCCATCTAAAACTAACCCCAGACCTGTTGGCACAAAGAAGACCGGTTTTACAATAAAAGATACAGCAAGTGATATGCCGGCGTTTTGATGTAACGATGCTTTTCGGTTACCAAAATGACACCGAACTGTTACTGACGCCCCCAATTGCAGGGGGAAGCTAACGTCGGCGTCTTCGAAGTCGCATTTCCCACAGATTACTGCCGGTTGATTTATTCAATTTGTGCCTTCTCAATCAGTGATGCGAAGAACATTGTCATAAAAGTGTTGTTTATACTACCGAGAATAAGCACCGAGACTTCTTATATTGGCTGCGTAACACATAATTGATTATCATAAATTTTTACTCCATTTCTGGTTACTGAATTGCGATTGTAAGCTGCCCCCAATGTTTGTTGAGAATGATACTTTACGTAATAATTTTGCCGACCATTTTAATAACCGATAAGGGATGCTTATTCTCAGCGGAATGCGTGTCCGGTATTAAAAATTAACCAGTATAAATAGTAAACTATTTTTGGTAATTTCCATTCAAAAAAGCTACCCTGCGTGCACTTAAAATTAACATTCCCATATTGTAACTGTGAAAAGAGGCATATCCAACAATAATGAATTAAGAGACTCGCGCTTTATGGACTTCCTAATCGACATGGGTGGACTTGCAAACAATGTCATTAACTAAATTATAAGCCTAGCTGACTTTAAGTGGGCTAAAGAGAGAGAAACAGCGCCCGCGTTGAAATTATAAGGAACGAATTTCTAAGCAAATTGGGGTCAAATGAAGTAACCAATCGAACGGAGGTGACTGCTATCTATTGCTAATGTTTCGACTACATAAACGTATCGGCTAATCCTTGGGCAAGGACGCCAGAAAAAATAGAAAACAGATATTCACTTATTCTCAATGATTATCTGAAGAATTCAAACTTGGATTGCAAAGGCTAGTAAGCGACTATTAAAATATTCTCGTCGGCCAAAATCATTAGCAATGCAGCTATGACCATATCTGACAATCACTGGAGAATGGAAACTGCCATAGCTGAGAAAATGCCCGAATGTGCAGAAAGATTAGGAGATTCAAACAAGAACATTGTATAGACAAGATTTACTTGGCAATAGATTATCCATCATATGTATTTATGCCGATTGGTTTATCATACCTTGATTACCTGTAAGAGATATTCAGAGCGTAATCTGGTGTACAGATAATAAAACACACATAACATGCACTTTATGGCACATTTTTGCGTGCCTTGTCAAAAGCAAAACATAGACTTGCTAGCAAAAGGAGCTATCAAAGAAAATTCGTGTTTCTAAAGCAGAAACATTTGGGCTATTAGCCGCTTTTCTCCGACTTAGAATTACTTTAAAATGGTTTTTTGTTCTTATCGTACGGACTTGTCGATTGTAACAAACAATTATCTCGAATTTTCCAAAGTAGTAATCTTAATCTATGCTAATTTAGATGGGAGTCTATGCGCAGAAATACTACTTAAGGCAAATTTGGAAAATGGAGTGCTTGCTCATGGTTGCAATTTACTTTTATCACGTAATTTTAACAGAACAAAATTTCCTTTATTGAATTCCTAGTATACATGTTGACATCACTGTCAACACAAATCAGATTTCACTCTTAATTATATGTGCCTCGTTTATACCATAAGGTTCAGACGTACAGGCATCGAACACTTATTTCTGACTTTCTTGCCAATAGCATGCAAGTAATGGCGACAACAATATAATAAAATTTAAAAGCTATAATAATATCGATAAATTATCTAAAATTATCCATATTACCGGCATAATTAGTACCATAAAATTCATGTAATCATGTTGACATAAAATGTAACCTGCATGTTACTAACGCGCAACTTCCATGCAATCGAAAGGGTGAAAACTCGACTTTGCCTGTAAAGAGGATGGATAGATCGTTTAGACTAACTATACCGTAAATACTCTTATTAATTTCATACAAATATTGCCGACATACTTTTTGCAAGAACAACAACACGACAACACCGCAAGTCATATATCAACGGTACTTAAGTCGGCTTATAATTAAGTAGCGTCATTTCAACAAATTTAGCATACATTTTCAACTCCGATGTAGTCTAGAGAAAATTATATTCGTGTTTAATATTAATTTTGTATAACGTGATTTGTTCGTTTTGTTAATATTACCATGAGTGCAAGCCCCTGTCTTCCAGTACTAATGGTCACTACGGCTGTATGCTCATGTTCGACGACTGGGTTTTCTACCGTGCTAAAAAGGCGTTCTTTTTTGAAGTCGGCTCCCTTTTCTGCCACTCTCTGTTCCTCCACTATCATAAAAGGGTTGCAGCCCGTCAGGTCCAACTGAGCTATTCTACGTTTTCTGCCGCGTGTCGATTTTGGAGAAGACTTTGTCTTTTTACTTTGGTGAGACATATTGGACGTACGATCAGTCTTCTGCTCCGCGGGGCTCTTTTATAATAAATGTTGATCTTTACGTGACATCACAGTAAATCTGAAGGGTTTTGCCACAGCTTGTTATGTAATATGGGTTGAAAGTGGCCTAATGGAGTCATACTCCGTACTTGCCATTTGTCAGTAAAAGGAGTGCATTAGCTTCATCATTGCTGTTATGTCAGTGAATGCTTAACACATTTTAACGAATTATATTGATGGCTTACTATTTTCAAACGCTAATAAGTTTTTTTTACCCCTAAATTAAAAATAGAAACACCCGCAGTATAATCAGTACCATGCTGTGGACTCACCACATATTATGGTCTTTTCTTTACCGTTGATTCAAATCGTCGGTATCACGCGAGTAACTAAACATAACAGAGACAGAAAGTAATTAGAAAATTTTTTGGCTTGTTTAAACAAATAAACAAACGACCTTGCATTTCATTGACTACTGAATGTAAACGCTATTAATATTATACAAAATGTTGCATTCGACGTATTTACTATTCTCTATCAATACAATGCACGCGAAGATTGCAATAATTGTGACTCACTATTACATGACTTGCTATCTGTCTGTCGCCGCTTAATATTAACAAGGTTTATTTAACCATATACAGTCGTGTATCATCTGATATTACACGACATATTGTGTCAATACCATTGCTGACATAATTTAGTAGTAAGCGGGAGAACGTAAGTATTTCTGTAAATGTGGGAAGTCTTCAGTTGTGACGGCTAAGAAGCAAATCTATAATGGAAAACGATATAAGATATATGTACAATATACTGTAATTCGAATATTAAACCAATGTATTGTTCAAATGTACAACCCCGCACTTTATTACTAATATAATCACGATAGTCATCTGACATGTCTTGTAAGGGGATTATCAAAAAACCGCCGTAGATTTGCGGGAATCACGGTTTCATTTGATCGAAAGAGCTTTTGCATATGATCTATTTATGGAAACGCCAATCAAAAAGTATAGCTTGTTATTATCTAAACCTAAATGATTATCAGTTTATTATTATTGGACATCGGCTAATTAACTCCATGATATCTGCATTATATCATTTGACAGAAAAAGGTCGATATTTATGGCTAATGAACGTTGCAAGCGGATGTTCATACATTAGCTGGCATTTATAAAAAAAAAGCACGATCAAGTTTAAACTTAAAAAAGTAATAGCCCTTTCTATTCTTGTGCGTCATTGTCGCTGAACGGAAGTGTCTATTGTTAGGATGCTGATAAGCCAGCTTACAGAAGTCAGAGTATAAGTTTAATAATATTATCACAACATGCGTTTAAACCTTAACAATAGGAAGTATGAAAAGCTTTTTTAATAAATGATACGTCTTAATGATTACGATGCAGACGTTTGAGCTAAGTTTGAGATACCCCGGTCAATTTTGAAGCAATTGGTGGATGTCTTATAAAATCAAAAATGAGCAAAGGTCAGAAAAAAAATACTGCATAAACAGGATCACATTGGGGTATGTCTTTCACATCTTCAATCTCATGCTTCTTAATACCTCACGCAGATTTTTTTGAGTTTTATGCGATGAATAAAACCTCAATTTTTCCTCTTTAACATCCTTGGCAAAGTCGGCGAGAGCCATCACAGGTCCACCTTTTAGGCCACAATCCCTGAAATCTTTTTCGGTCATATTAAGAAAGGCGCGACAAGTAACCCTTTCCTTGCGGAGGATTCCAAATGAGTATCGTAAAGTTACAGATCTTTCTCTTCCCCACACAAAAAGTCGATAAGTCTCTCAGTATCATTTCTTCGAACACTTTAGCTAAGATTTTTTCATTTGCCGGAGTACTTTGTTCTGACATGTCTATCTACTATAATATAGATAGTTGTTATTTGCCAGAAATAATTATTCACACCAACCCTA